CCCACGGGGCGTGTTGTGCATGATGGGTGAGTATAATAACCGCCGCAAGTCCGATAGGCGGGCAGTAAACGGTGTTATACAAAGCTCTTGGCCTCGAAGAACGAGCTGATGTAGTATATCTGGAAGAAGCAGATGCAGATGAGGAATATCATCTGGCAGACGGACCAGCGAATGATCCGGGAGTTCATGTCGTCGATGATGGCCGAGTATAGCTGCTCGCGCGAGCTGTAGGTCTCAGTGCGGTCGACGATGGCGTGAGTGTTCTGGAGCACCAGCTCAGCGAACCTAGTGACGGCGGCGGTGTCTTCGACGGTGGTGACACTGGAGAGGTCCTTGTTGAGCCCAGTTTCGACCCGGTAGTTGAAGACGACAGTATTTTTCCCGTGAGACTTGTTGGTGATGCAGAGGGAGTAGTACCCAGTCTCCTGGACCTGAAAATCGTGAATTCCAGGCACGGGGGCCGACACGTACCTTGAATTCAAACTGGTTGTCAATGACCACGTACACGGGAATGGTCTTGGGCTTTTCAGTGAGCGAGTCGACCTTGTAGAGCATGGAGCGGAGCGCGTGCTCGTCCGGCACCGCCTCGGCCGAGCTACAGCGAATGAGCGGTCGAAATGATGCCTAGCCTACCCCGTGAGCTTCTCTCCGTGGCTCGCGAGCGCCGTGAAGCAGCGGGTCTCGTCGCCCTTGAGGGTCATCTGCGTGCCCCGGACGAGAGCAGCGGCCGCGAGCGCGAGCACCGATAGGGCCCAAATTTGGCCACCCATTCTGCGATGACGTGTGTAATGAAACTGAACCACTCGCAGCCCGTGGGCCGTGGATTTTACCGCGTCTCCCGGGTGGTGCAACACGGCAGGGCAGCGCCGGAGGCCTACCGCTAACACTTATATTAACGCGTCACAATTTTCACGCGTTGCTACCAGCTTATCACGCTATTATTGCTACGAAGTCGCACTAACGCGACGACCTTCCGAGTTGCCCGCTCGCCCGTTGCCGAATCCGGTGCTGGCGACGCTGTTTCTGGGACGAAACCCGGGCACACATTGAAGCCCTCCGGTGTTTGAGCATCGGCTGGAGGGAATTGGAGTGTGCTACGGACGAATTAACGATGTCTGACGAACAACAAAGACCCCCGACCCTGGATGAGGCGGAGGCCCTCCGCATGCAGGCGCGGTTCTGCTTCACGCAAGCCGACGCCGCGCAGCTGAAGGACCACATCAACAGCCGCCTGCAGGCTTACGTTTCCTTCTCGGCCTCCGAGCACTACTCTCCCGCCATCTATAAGGTGCGTCTGCGCGACTTGTGCGTGACCGGTAGCTGTGTTCATGTAGCTGTTGGGGCGTCGGCAATTGCGCCCCGGGTAGCGTTCTCACAGTAGTGTTGCAATGTTGGCGGTTTCCGCAGCCGGCGGCGAAGCGAAGCCGTTTTTCACGCCCTGCAGACGCTGCAGAGCACCGTGAAGATGCTGGAGGAATGGGAGCAGTCGGACCCAGTCCGCCCCGCCTTTAGCTTCACCGCGGTGCGGACGAGCAGGCATCGGGAGTTCATCGCGCAGCCAGTGGAGTCGCCAGTGGTCACCACCGGGACGCCGCTGATGGCGACGGACCCGCTGCTCGAGGCCGGGGTGAGGATTCAGGGAGGAACGCTGTACGTCAGCGGCGTGCGGGGAATGGACGTTGTGCGGAGCGCCGAGGAGCTGCGGGGCGTGGGAACTGTGATCCTCAAGAACTTGGTAGGTCCCGCGGTGTGCGTGGTCATCGGCTGCAGGAGCGCTGCCGCGTGGTGCTGCTGGGCGTGGTGGAGACGGTGTACGTCACCGACGTGAAGGAGAGCGTGGTGTGGTGAGTGCGACGCTCGAGGGGGTCACTGAGCCGCAGGATCGGGGTTTCCCGCGCGTCGGCCATCCTGCACGAGGTCTTCAGGTCGACGGTGCTGATATGCTGCCGCCAGCTCCGCATCGCCAACTCCGTGGACTGCACGTTCTTGTTCGACTCGGTGACGATGCCGATAATCGAAGGGTTGGTGGCGGAGCGCGGTGGCTTCCATGCGTGTCAGGTCCCACGACATTATTTTCGCCAAGAATCACGTCCGGTACCCGGGGTTCGAGGAGCAGCTGAAGGTAACGCATTAGGGGGGGACACACAGCGTTCAGGCGTCCGGACTCAAGGACCGGCTGTCGATAGAGTCGCCTTACGCGACGGACTTCAGCTGGCAGCACGCCGTGCCCTCGCCGAACTGGTGCGTGGTGCCCACACGGCCGCCGGTGACGCTGGAGCCGGAGCCGGTGGACGACTCGGCGCCGAACGAGGCAGGCAACTCGCTCACGTTTTCGGACGCTTCATGGGCTCATCTAGACAGCCTTTAAATCACCTAGCTCACTGTTTCTGTGGCGGCGCTTCCCCACCCCGGGCTGTGTGTCGCGCGGCGGCGAGGGCAGAGCGATCAGAGGTGCTTGGCGATGGAATCCGACGCGGCGCTTCAGCGCGAGATTCGCGCTCTGCTGCGCGAGCGCCACGCGCTCAAGTCGGCGATCCGTAAAATCTCGGCGCAGGTAGACAGCGGTAGGAGCCCGCGCCCGGAGATATGACGCCGCTCAGATGCGCCGATGACGCTGCTGTCGACCAGGGCGGCAGCCGACGGAGCGCAGGAGGGGAAGCGGAAACTTCAGGTGAGTGGGTGAGCGGGGTTTGTGGTCACATGCGGCAGGACGAGATGGAGGTGGACGCGGAGAAGCGGCCGAAGCTGGAGGCGGCGGCGGAGCACGTGGCGGGGCAGCGGCGGCTCCTGCGGTCGGGGCTGCTCGGCCACCTGCAGCGTGCTCGGGACGCGCTGGAGAAGGAGCGGGAGAAGGAGAACGTGGGTTGCCAGTGACGTGGTCAGCAGTGCGCAGACGAGGAAGCACCTGGAGAAGGAGCAGCTGATCGCGCAGAAGCTCGCCGCGCAGGAGCGGGAGAAGGTGGAGGCGCTTTCCATCGAGCTGCGCGCCGAGCTGGAGACGAGCGAGGGGCGCTTGCAGGTGGTGGAGTCGGAGCTGCAGACCAAGAACGGGGAGCTTGTGGTGGGTTGCGACGTGGTGCGGTGCAGTGGGCGCAGCGGTCGAGCTTGGCGAGGCACTACGAGTACATGTCCAACTTCATCGCGACCAAGACTCAGCCCACGGTGTTCTGGCTGCCGCGAAACTTCAACCCCGAGCTGGAGTCGCTGCGCGACGGGACGCGGCAGTTCATCGCGCAGAAGGTCGCGGCCATCGCATCTACGGACTACTGTAGCACGGAACTGAAATTGAATAGTGATGTTTAGCTGCTGCCTGGCTCCGGGGCGGGCTTCGGTTCAGCCTCGGTTTCGAGCTTGGCGGTTTCGTCCTCGGTGCTGGGGGCGCCCTCGGCCCTGCGAAGCTCGGCGACGAGCCATTCCCGAATGGCCTGGAGCATGTTTTCGGCTCCATCGTAGCCTGTTGCGCGTTTATGTCATGGTAGTGCTGCCTACTGAGCTCTGCAATGGCGCGGTCGAAGTCCTCGGCGGTGAACCTGAGCGGGGTCTGGTTGAGCTTGTCGGAGAGCCAGGCGATGAAGTCGGCATTCAGGCAGTCCGAGAAGATCCACATGCGCGCGACGATGCCGTCGGTGAGGTCGAAGCAGAACTCGACGGAGCCGAAGTCGAAGCGGGTGCGCAGGGACTTGTACTGCAGCACGCGGTCGCCGTAGATCCACTGCTCGTCCTGGGCCCGGATGGGCGGTGGGGCGCGTGCACTTACAATGAGCTTGTCGTAGCACTCGATGAAGTCGTTTTTGGTGCAGTAGGGCGAGGTCTTGTCGATCAGTTCCACCTCGCGGTCCTTCGCGCCGTAGAAGGCTGAGACCTCGGCGATGATGGCCTCGCAAACCTGCCGGGGGTCAGGGGCCAGTGGGTCGCGCTCACGGTTTTGTGGCAGGCGTCGGGGTTGAACTGGGAGAGGTTGGTGACGCGCGCTTTGACGCTCTGTACGTTGTGCTTCTCCAGCTTGGACTTGTCGGGGGTGAGGTACTTGTCGAGCGACCCCTGGTTGACGTTGATCAGGATCGTGCCTGCACGACGTGTTGGGGCCGGCATGGCGAGCTACCGTGGTGCAGAGCGGCGTTTGGAAGAACCTTGAAGGCGGCTCCTGAGAACTGCAAGGGAATAATTAGTGATACGGTCGGCGTGGTTGCTGTCTCCAGCATCATGGCACGGGCATTGGACTTAACAGCAGTTACAGTAAAAATATGGTGAACGGGCCATAGATGGGGCGGGCAATGGAGCGTATATGGGTTGCTTTATGATGGTTCAGAAGAAGGTCAGTTTAAACTAAAAATCACGCAGTGGTACCCACCTTCAGACCGTTGATACAGAGGTCGTTCCTGCCGCTGGGCTCGCACTTCGTTCCTGAAACGCGGTACAACAACAAAGGCGGAGATAATCGAACCTATGAGCTTGCCAATGGCGTCGCAGATCAACTTGGAGTTCCTCTCGAAACTGTAGTCGTTGGCCGGGGAGATGAAGGTGAAGCAGGTGTTACCGAGGTCCTACGCAATTAAAGCTCGGGATTCCGACTGGTGTGTGAGCTTACCTGGTACACGGCGCCGCCTCCGGTGAACCTTCTGACGATCTTGACGTTGTCTTGTTTCACGCGCTCGAGGTTGCACTCGGCCCAGACGTTCTGGTTGCGGCCGACGATGACACACGGAGAGTTCCGCCACAGAAAGAGCATGGGCGGTTCAGGTGTGCCGTCCTTGGCTGCTGAGGTGCCGTAGGAGTTGAGAAGCGCGTTCTCGAGAGCGAGGTTGAAGTAAATGTCGTTTACCTCGGAGAGCAGGACCCGCAAGGCCCTACCGCGCGGGCGACCTCCACCACAAAAGCATCGACGAAAGAGAGAGAGAGCTGCCATTTTTTATAGTGACTGTGTGTGGGCCCACTTGCGGGTGTGATGGAAGGTCTTACAACATATAATGTCCTTAATAGACAATGATGAGAACCACAGTGGCCCCTTTAGCTCAGTTGGTAGAGCGCCAGACTTTTAATCTGGTGGTCAGGGGTTCGAGCCCCCTAGGGGGCGCAGATTTTTTGCGCAGAATCGGCTTAGATTGATATGAAACAGGATTCTAATGCAATATTACTGCTGTGTTGTTGAACGAGCACCTGACGAACTGGACTCCAGGGGCCTGTTGGTCCGCCTGAGAGCCTGCCGCAAAGGAGGGCCCTAGGGGTAGGGGAGTGGGTGACGTTAAGTTCCCCCGCTCTGATCTTTATTGGTTACCAAAAGGCGTAACGTACTGTCCGGGTCGAGTTGGTACTGCTGGTTGCTGCCCCAGCCCACCAGGCCACCCGCCTTGAGCGCGGCCACACAGTGGCTGCTACCGCAGGTGAAGAGGCCCGTCTCCAGAGGGCCGGCCAGCTGAACGGTCCTCGGACGGTGCATTCGCACGTCGACGCTTGCGCACTGGCCAAAGCGGTTGCCGCCGCTTGCGATAAGGTGGGTCGTGCGGTCGCTGCGGGAATGGATGTCGAGGGAGGGCCGGAGTAACGTACCCCTGTCCGGCAGGCGTTGCGGCGACGATGGTAAAGTCGTCCCCGGCGGCGAGGCTGATGTCCGCGCCGCACAGCAGGTGCTGGTACTCGCTCAGCTTGCCAATGCGACTGACGGGAATGGGGTTGAACTGGAGGTGCCGGTCGGTGTGCGTGTACTTGGTGTAGCTGACAGTGCCCCTTTCCTGCCGACTGGCAAAGGCCTTGTACTGGTCCAGCTCGAGCAAGGTGCGGCCGCGAGTGTCTCCGAGGAAAAGCTGCACGCTCGCGTCGTCGCCGAAGCTGCGTAGACGTGGTCGGCGGCGTCGCAGGTAACTCACGTGTAGATATTCCCGTCGGAGTCGAGGCAGCAGGTGTGCCTGCCGCCACACGCGACGTCGACTACGCGTGTGGCGGGGTCTTTGAACTGCACCTGGACGGCTGTGATAAGAATCGGAGTGGGGAATACCTGGTGGAGGTCGACGTGGTCCGGCGCCGTCGCGTGGTCCCTCCGGGGGAAAGTGACGAGGGTGTTGTCGCTGGTCACGTTGGACGGCTTTAAACCGCACTGGCCGAAGCTGTTGTCCCCGGTGCAGTCTGCAGGTTGTGGTGAGCGCGCGAGAGGGTTGGCCTACACAGGGTTCCGTCGTCGGCGAGGAACGCCGCGTGGGCGTTTCCGACGCTCATCTTGACCACGCGCTTCCCAAATAAGCCTCGAATGCGTTCAACTGGCGGTGCGGAGGACCTCGCGACGCCAGGGTGGCAGTTGGTTGACGTTCGGAACGTATTGGTCCTGCCGTCATTAAAGCTGTCCTTAGGGGAGTCGTCATCAGATCCATCGGGGCTGCCCGCCGAGGCTGCGCCGCAGTCGCGCAGTGCGCGCTGCACGTCCCGTATCACGGAAACTGCGCCGTCACTGGTTAACATGTATATGTCGGTGGCGGAGCACCGGCAGTCCACGACCCCTGATGTGCCCAGAGGGAACGGCTGGACGAAGCGCCCGTCCTCAGTTTGCCCCCAGATGTACATGTTGCCATCCTGGTAGACTGCAGCGCCGAAGTTGGGCCCGAAGGTGACGCAGCGCCAGTTTCGGGCATCTAGGGGTAGATGAGAGAGGTTTGGTAAAGTGGAACCTACCACGAAAAAGGCTGTGGCTGCCCCTGCCGCCCGGAAGGGCGGCAGGGGCACCAAAGAGGTGAACGCGCGTGCCGTTTGTGAGTCCCGTGGCGTGATCGCGCGGCCCACGGTGTCGACTGTCGACACCGGCGTCTGTGTCGCAGCGGACGGACGAGGCGATGGTCCTTCCACCCGCAATGGCGGTTGCACGCAGTAGTGCGCGCCTCAGAAAGCGCGGTAGGCACCTCATAGTGCGGGATTCCACGTTGGCGACGTGATGTGCAGAGAGCGCTCCGCAGAAGGTCGCGCGTATGAGGCGGGCGGCAACGCCTGGAAGCCGGGACAGTGTGCGGGAGCCTTTTAGTTCGTTTCACGATGGCGGGACGCGCGGAGGACTCGCTCGTGCGGGATAACGAGCGCCAGTGGACGGTGAGCAACCGCGTCGAGGCGGAGGGGCTCGAGTGGCTCTACGCCGACCCGTCGGCGGCCAAGAAGGACACGAGCAATCTGGTAGGTGTGCGGGGACGTTGCGTGAAAGCGGCTGCAGGAGGCGTACCTCCTGGGCAAGAGCATCGAGGGTGCACGCGGCGAGCTGGGCCGGGAGAAGATCGACCCGTCCGCGGCGGGGTCGCTGCTCGCTGAGGCGTCCGAAGGGGCGCCGGTGGACGACACGCTGAACAAGTTTAGGGAGGACCCGCTGTTCATCATCAAGAAGGTGGAGCTCCACCAGCGCCAGGTGATGCAGAAGTATGCATCTCTGGCGCAGGGGCACCGGGATGGGGGCTCGAAGTTGGTTTCTCAGGCTCCAGTGTCGGCGGAATCTGCGGGTCGGTCGGGGCGTTCGGCTGCACGAGGCGTTTCGAGGGACCATGAGAAGGGTGGAGCTCGTGATAGGGGTCGGAGTAGGGGGTATAGCAGGGGTCACGGGGAACGGAACGTTGACCGGCGGCGCCATCGAAGCAGGGGGAGTCGTTCCAGCTCAGTGGAGCGTCGAAAGGTGAAATACTACCGTTCGATCGATGATAGGTCTCGTCATTCTGGTCGTGGCGGTCGCCGTCGCAATCGCAGCTCATCAAGTGGGAGTAGTTCTGTTGACTCCCACCGTGGTCATCGGAGTCGTCACCGAGATGACGAGGGCGAGTACCGCCGCAGAGGTAGCAGGTATGACAGGTATCGTAGCAGGAAAGAAAAGGCTCGCCGGAGCGTTGGGCGGCGTCGCAGGTCTCGCGATGATAGTGTGAGGTATCGGCGACGCTATGAAAGTTCAAGTAGGAGCAGCAGTTATAGTTCCCAGGAGAGTTGTAGTGATAGCCGTAGTTACAGTAGTAGTTACAGTAGTAGTGATAGTCGTAGTGATAGTTCTGAGAGTTCCAGGAGAAGTATCGAAGAGCGATATGGAAGGAGGAACAGGAGTGGAAGACGCCGGAGAAGCAAAGGTCGTCGGGGTAGGCGCGACAGCAGCACTGACAGTTATGAGAGCCGAGACCGGAGTGGTGGACGACGGGGTTCAGGGAGAGAGCGACGGAGAACTCGAAGTCGACGTGGACGCAGCGAGAGTTACACGAGTGACGACTGCAGCAGCGTTGATAGCAGGGACGGGCGGAGCCGTGACCGTCAGAGGTCCCGCAGCGGTGGAACTTCTGAAGGGAGTAGGGAGCGTGTTCTGGGTTCAGAACGATCGAGGACGTCCTCGCGTAGTAGTGAGGGTAGCACCGACTCGCGAGGTCGAACGTTGCGGCGTGGTCGGTCCCGGAGTGGGCCACGTCGTAGCAGGGTCGAGACACGTCGGATCGCAGGGAAGGAAGAACGAGCGCGAGTTGAGGAGCCGGTGAGGCGAAAGCAGGGGCCTGAGCTGCCGCTGAAGCAGGACCCGCTGAAGTACGCGTTTGGAGTGACCGAGGACATCATGCCTCCCCAGGAGATCCAGGACCGAGCAGAGCAGCGGCGGCGCGAGATGGAGGAGCGCAAGCGACTTCAGCGGGACTTGTACGCGTCGGGTGACGTAAAGGGCCGTATTGAGGAAATGCAGTCGCACGGCACGTCGCACCTCAAGGAGCGCCTGGAGCAGATGGCGGAGCACGAGCGCCTCGTGCAATCAAAGGAGGCGGAGGCGGAGGCGCCGCGTGAAGGCAGCGACTACATCTCTGCGTTGAAGCATCATGCCCTGGAGTCGGCCAAAATGGCGGAGCGCATCCGCCAGCGTGCCTCTCGGAGCCTCGTCGAGGACGAGTGAGGTGAAGATTGGCAGGTCAGAGCGTTATGCTACGCTCTGACCTGCCAACTACCACCAGTCTGGTGCGACTCATAGAGCTAGATTTCGGGCGGAATTATAGCGCTTTCAATGTAGTTCTTGAATATCAGTGGTGCTTTTAACGTTTAGTAGTGGGCGTTTTGTGGCAACCGCGTACTGCGAGTGGACTTCGGTGCATTGGTTTGACGCTGTCACATTGATGCTAGGTGGGAGGCAAGAACACACGATATTTGGCTGGGTGTGCAGATGCTCGCTGATGGAACAAAACGGGGTGTCGCTCAAACTGAAAACACGCTCTAGGATAGGCCGCCAAAACAAGGGGATGACGCGTAAGCAACTGTAAGCATGTAGGGAGCAGAACTATTAGGCAACCGGCTTGTAAGCCGGTGCTGCGTCACCTGCGGAGGAGGTCCCGCTCCCGCGCCTCCGCGGCCCGACGCACAGCCCGCTCGCAACGCCGCTCAACCTCAGCCAGAAGGTCGGAGTACACGTTGAACTGCTTCACAGTGACGTGGTTGATGACAGCATGCTTGGCAGCGTCGCTGAGAACAGGAACCTGAAAGGCGTAAACAGGGCAGTGGCCGAACTTGTTGCCGATGTCAGCCTGGACAATGTCGCCAGGGGCGACGGCGCCGAGGCCGCCGTGGACCACGGGGATGCGAACATTGTGCTTGCGCTCCAGAGCCTCGAAGCCATCCAGGAGAGCGTCGAAGGTGCCCACGAAGTTGGCGCGGAGGATGACCGGTACGACCGGCCTGCCCATTTCGGGCGTCACCTTGGGTGCGACAATGCCGCCGTGCGGCTTAGGCGCTTTCCCGAGCGAATCGGAGACCTGTAGCTTGCTCTCCCACCTGCGCCGGAGCTCCTCGTTCTGCTCAGCCACCTTGGCCGCCCACGCCGCGTGGGGGTCATCAGCCGGGACTGAGCCCGGCTGATGAGTTTCGTCGACGGAATCATCGTCGTAGTCAGTCGTGTCACAATCGTCCGTAGTAGTGGCGTCGTTCCCGTTGTCGTCCACTGGGCGGATGTAGATGGAGGAGGGGAACGCCGGGTTATAGTCGGAGGTGCCGGGGGTCGAATCCGCACGAAGCGGGTCGTGGTCGCCGGCGGCGTCACTGCGCTCGTCAATGTGGGTGGCCAGCGCAGCCTGGTCGTACCCCGCGTCGTCCTTCGACTTGAGCACG